TTGTAATAAGTTTGTTCTCCATTTGAAAATGACTTATTTTTGAAATGTTAGATGACTGTATACAGAAACAGTTTAATCAATACAACTAATTTTAGATCAATATGTAGTTTAATTAACATGTCAGTGCCAACAATATGTGAAAATTAAAGTTACTTTGTCATATAATTTTAATTGCTGGAGGAACAATACTTATCTAAACATTAAATACTCCATTGATAATGAATATTATTTAAAAATAAAAGAATTGAAATAATCATAAGGGGCTTTCAAAGTTGATTAGATAGAAATAACTTTTAATAGTAAAATTAAGATAAGCAGCTTGGTATTTAGAATTGGTTAAAAAGTTTATAAAAAACTTTACTTTGTTTCCTGATCTTCGTCAGGGGAACTTTCACCTTCTAAGGTGGCATATCCTCGATCTTTTCGATCTTTCTTTTCTTTTCGTTTACCGCCAAGAAGTTCTTTTTTAGAATGTTTGTCGTGTCCACCTTCATCACTAACTAGAAATATATACATGTATACATATAATGATTAATTAATCGCGATATAGATACAGTATTTTAAACAAGTAATTTGAACGTGTCATTAATTAGAAAAAGGATTCACGGTGTTTAATTTGTAGTCTGCATGACAGATGCATAACCTCTCCGTTAAAAGCGGTCGTCACTCGAAAAGAATTAGATAATTCAACGAACGATGATACGTACAATCACTTTCGTTACTTTTCTTGGCCGATTCCGAGGCGTATAATCCAGGAAATTCTTTTTCTACATCCGGACTCTCGAAATCCATTCTCTATTACTTACGATGCGCTAACTGACTTAAAAATCTTGGTACCAAACTATCGATTATTTCATTCGAGTTCTCCCTTTCGATTGTCAAAAATTACTGGAGCACCAAATCGATTATTCAAATACGAACTTTTGCGTAATATGCAATATGTTCTTTTTTAGTTCATTTCGCGTACTTCAGAAGGAAGCCACGGTTTAAAAACATGACCATCGGCTTCTTTATTAGCCATATAAGTAAAATACGCTTGTTTAAACCATATTGTTGGGAAATTTCCATATTGCATAGAATCCCACATTGATCGTGCATACAATACACGTTTCTTTCGAACTTCGCTGTAAAATATAGTTTTTTTCTTCGCGATCTATAAATAAATAAATAATTCGATAAAGTAAGATTATAATTATTTTGTGCGTATGCTAGAAACCTTTTCTTTCATTTCCAATGCATTATCATAAGTCAATTTTCTAAGCTGAAGTTTCGTCAGTTTTAACGGTGGAGGTACTATTATGGATTTAGTAGTTAAAACATCTAACATATTCCACATCTTAATACTATTGCGTACTGATTTTCCTACAAAAATATTACCGTGACAATATTAGTTGTATGCAGAAAACTACGCGAAAATATTCGACTTACTTCTATATGCATCACTAAGAACTATTCCTTTTCTATACATCAACCAAAATCGTAACTGTGGCATTAAAAAGCATTTTGGTAATTTTGCAAACAAAAATCCTTCTACTGCCATTTTCTTTAATTCGATCTAACCATTAATATTTTTACAAATTATACGCAGTGCCAATAAGTTAAAAAATAGTAAAGCAAGAATTACCTTACCTTTACTATGGCCATTATAGAATTGTCAGTAGGATCAACATCTTCATTAGAAATATCTATATTTTCTGTATTTAATTCAGTTGCATCACTTTGCAATTGTCTCTCACCAATTACTTCTCTATAGTCAGACTTTTGAGGAGTCTGTAAATAGGTTTGTTCACTTGTTTCATTTTTACCTTCCTTAAATGAATGTCTTGTTTTAATTTCAGAAGTTTTTTGCGTTATTACATTTTTATCTTTACTTCCCTTGTCCAAACTCAGTGCTTTAATTTCAGAAATCTTTTGTATTGCTTCTCTTTTAGTCTCAATTTTAGTTGAAGGATTATCAATAGTTGATCTAATGTACTGCTTTGCTTGTTGAAAACGTTGTGTCAATCCGTTTTTACCTACAACAGGTGTTTGAGAACGCGATACTACAATGTTATCGCCATCCTGAACAAATTCTTTGTCCTTTAATGTTGCTTTATCCTCTTCATCATCTTCTGCCTCATTACACTTTTCTTTACAACTATGATCGTCATGTGTATGATATACTGGTTGAGGAGCGTAAATTTCACGGAATGCTTCTATTACTGCTTCTTGTCTTCGTTTCTTTTCAGCAAGCATAATTTCTTCTGGCTTTGGCAGTGGTCCAGGAGGAACTTTTATAGCTGACCAATGTCGATGCAAGCAAACACATGGTATTTCCTGTTCACTTGGTTCAGGTGTCTGAATAGGTGTAGCCATGTTTATACCACCTACTATTTCTTTGGGCGGTAAATGGGAATAATTTTCAGCAACGCCAGTTATACAATATTTAATATCGTCTATATATTCATCGTCCCTTGGAATTCTTCTTACACCTGATATCATTAACTTTGTATTTGGTATCAATGGTTTAGAAATATCCGTAACATTTTTGTACGGTTGCTTTTTCAAAGATTTTAATCGTTTTTGGCGTTCTTTGCATTTCACTTTCTCCTCTTTATATTCAAGTACTTTTCTCTCATACTTACATTCACAAACTGGTCTTTTTGTTTTAAGTTTTTTATGTGGTATAGCACAACCCACTTTATTAAACTTAGTACATTTCAACCAACAAGGCATGCTATCCCTGCAACGTGTATAGTAATCAATTAACCCTGGATCTTTAAGCGCTAGGCTCCAACGTTCTTTCGGTGGTTTTGCGTTTATTAACGTTTCTCTAGTTTTATCGAATTCTTTCAACGCTCGAACTTTTTCGTCATTTCCATCTGTAAGTTGAATACCATATGTATCTACGTATTCATTGCAACCACAAGAATCTCTATCCTTTACAGTTTCCGACACTTTAGGTCTACCATATTGTTCAATAAATTTCAGATTTTCATCTTTACGTTTCGTAAGGCACATATCATATGGTGATTCATAAAGATCATACTCAGGTACATATTCTTCACTTCTACGAGGACTTGGCGGTGGAGTGTAATAAATGACACCATCTATAACTTGCATCTTTTTATCATCATCTTTCTTTTTTCCTAATAATTTCTTTTCATCGTCATTTTCTTTTTTACTACCTATAAGTCCGCTAATATTGTACATTAATATTTTCTTAGTAGCCCGGTTTTCCCGACAAGTGCATGGTTTTCCGCCTGACCTTAGTTCTACTGTTTCTGGAGGGTAATCTGGATCCGTGAGATAAACTAAAGTTTTTTTCGTTGGTAAATTTTGTTCTGACTTTGTTTTCCAGCCACAAGTACCTTTGCTTGGCAATTGAGCATCTGCATCCTCTTTTTTCTGCACAAAAGTAGGTACAATTTCTGAATCTACATACTCCACTTTACATTTTGTTGCACCTTTTTCTGATATTTCTACTGGTTTAACATCATAGGGATAGTTTTCAGAAGATTTCATCATATTTTTTAATTCTTGTATTTTGTTTCTGTGTTGTGTTTCAGGGTCTACATCCTCGTCAATCTGCATATCTTTCTTTCTATCTCGTTTTACTGACTTTTTCCTTGCACTGAATTGTCTACTTACCTTCTTCTTCTTAATATTTGTCCCTACAAGTGATTTGCTACTTAATTGTTTCATTCTTTTTCCTTTCTGCTCTTGTTTGTCAATACTGACGCTTGATAAATCACGTGATTTTTCTTTAGATCTTTTACTAAGTTGACCAGAACTTACATGTGTAGATGACTTTCTGTCAGTTTCAGATGCTGTAGTTTTTGATCTTTGACTTCCTTTTTTCTCATACCTAGAAGACACAGGTTTTACATCCATCCTTTGATTGCTTTTACTCCTTGCTGATTTTAGAAATTTTTTATCTTCCGTTTTAACATCACTTATTATTGTTTTATCGGATATTTTTTTACTCTTAATGCTCTGAGTTTCTTTCTCGTCGTCTAATTTTAATCTTGATTTTATTTTAGTCGTTCTTAACTCGCTTTTAGATCTTCCTGGAATTTGTTTTTTTGAAACTTGTCTAGATACTGAAACTTGTTTTGAAACGGCGGAGACTTTCGAACTGTTTTTTTTTAAAGAGGATTTCGAAATACTTTTATCTGGTGGAGATTCTTCACTTTCATCTATTACTGCCTTAGAAGGCACAGGTGTTGCTGGTGGTTTTGGAGAACTAAGTTTTAATAACGTTTTAAAGTCAGTTTCGGATTCTTTTTGCGATGGTGCTGTACGAAATATATTCCAAGGATCATCATAGCCAGGATAGTTGGGATCAGGAATGAATTTTTCAACTTTCCTCTCCACTAACGTTCTTCTGCCTGCTATAGAGTCTGGACTCATATAACATTTTGTATCGCGCTTCCTTTCTTTTTTTTTTTCTTCCTTCACAGGAACTTTCTTGGTTGCCTCCTCTTCTTCCTCTACTTCTTCTTCTTCTTCAACCTCTTCTTCTCCTGGAATTTCTTCATCTATATGTATCTGTGGTGGTTTCAATGGTATTCGCTCTCCAAACGGACCTTTACAGACTGCTCGTCCAGGCTTTGTTCCACAAGGGGGGCCCTGAATAACAAAAATATATTATTTCATGTTAAATATTTATTATAATGTCTATTCTTATAATTGGTTGAAGTTACAAAAATTAAGCATACTCTGAGTATTTGTTTTCGTATTCGTTCTTGTTCTGCCAGTTCTTCTGGAGTTAAGGTATGCAAAGCACCCCAGGGCCCTCCACAGATACCCATACCATGTTCATCTCCACAGGGTGGAAAGTCTGCAATACTATACATTTTCTTTTCTGAAGTGGAGTTACCTTTTAATTCTTTTCGTTTTTCCTTTTCAGCTTTTTTTTTTAATCGAGTTATTTCATTCATAAATGGACTTCTTCTACACGACTTATCACCTGGATACATTTTACAAGAATATGCAGGAGATTCTTGAGGTCTAAATTTTTTTCCAAAACATAATCCATCATCTTTTGTCCATGGTATATTATCATGACTTAATGTTGGGCTTAAGCTCTTATTAAATATTTGTTGAATTGCACACACACATGGTGGGACATTTCTAGGTGGTCTAGGTGGTGGACGTTCTACAACTCGTGCTGGTACGCGTATCACCTCTTTTTTAGAATCCGAAATGAAATATTGCGTTTCACCTGTTTCATGTGTTACACCACTTATTACAAGATTCGTTGTGAGTACATCTTCGGAAGCTATAATTTCTAGTAAATTCACCGATGATTCTGGAGGTGTTGGTGCAGGAGAATGCATTGCCATTGAGCCTACAATATATTGGTTTCGATTATCGTCTTCAGTTATGGTATCTATTACGAAATAAGGTGCTTTTGTTTCCTTTGCCTTTACATATGATTTTCTGGTTTGCCTGCAAGAGCAACAGCTGTCACATGTAGGTTGTGGAAACACTAGTTTTGTTATAGCTTCTATGTTCTTTATCATTTTGTTCGCATCTCTTTCTACTTTCCGAAATTCTTCATCCACGTTTTGCAGCCATTCTTGCCAATGACGAGACAAATTCTTTCTACCGCTTGGATAAATTTTGTTCGGCCCATCTCCAAGTTTTAGCACTGCCAAGAATCTTTCATCGCTATTAGATGGTGTTACGTTTGCAACGCCGGTCATTTCATACGTTACAGGACAAGTTGGTGGTTCGTCAGAAGCCCCAGATATTATGTAATGTACATGTTTCTTACCAAGCCAAGATTTCTTATTTGGCTGAGGTGGCTGTAAAACTCCACATATCTTATATTCCACTGGACCCGTATTTTCGCAAATTCCATTAATTGTAAAATCAAATAGTCTATTTTCACCATACAAAGGTGGAATATCAAGAGCAGCAGATTTTTCTGAATCATGATTTACTTTCTCTTCTTTATCTATTATGTTATTTATTATGTCCTCCTGTTTTGATGTTTCATCTTGATTCTTATTATAACTGTCTTCATCTTGTTTTAATTCAATAAAATTTGTTAAATCATTAGTAGAAACATTAGTGCGTTTAGTAGTTGGTATATTACTGAATTTTTTAACAATAGTCTTTTGTTCCACTTTGACTGGAGTATCATACTTCTGCTTTGTATCAACAGAAATATTTTGTTCTTGTTTTCTTTTAATAGAGATATTGCGACTTTGTCTTGTTTGATCAGGAGAATTGTTTTTAACATGAACTAATTGATTATTTTGAACAATATTTTCTAATTTATTACTTCGAATTTCTTCACCATTAAGATTATCCCTTCCATTTTTATAATTACTTGAAATACAATCTTTGGGAGGTAATATTACATTTGGTATTGGTGTTAATTCGCGCATTTTTTGCCAACGCAGTAACCGATTGTAATAAGATACCCAATCTGGTCTTGTAAAGAGTTCTTCCTCATATGGTGATTCCATTTTTTGTCTTATTGATATTGTTGGTGGAATAGCTACATAAATGATATATATTAATGATATATTGACATACATTACATATGATAAATATATAAATTAATAATTTCTTGAACATTTAAAGTAAAGAGCATTACGTTTTGGACGTAATTTTGGCATTGTCACGGGAGGCAAACGTTTATATAGCTCCATAATAGTTTCTGGTAAATCTTCTTCACAAAAATAAATAAAATGGAAACCAACTAACTGTATCCTTCTTCTTCAAAATAATTTCCTGTTAATGCCTTGTAAATTTCTCTTAAAAATTCGATTACATCGCAATTTGAAGATTCCTGTAATTTTCTAATAACATTTGGTGCAAGTGTAAAAAATGTAGATGTAATTCCAATTGATATAAGTGTTCTTTGAGTACGTCCTGTTACCATTTCTTCACAATCCTTTTTCATTGTACATTGTAACATCCCTAAGTCCTTTATCTATCAATTTAGAAACATTTCTTATTTTAATTGAAATTTATATTTTAATTATC